AGCTGGTGGAATTGAGGTGGAGGAAGACATCGGCGTTGCTGTCCTGGCGCAAGCAACGGCCCCGACCCTGGCACAGCGCCGTGCTGCAGAGCTGCGCTGCTGTTGTGACATTCACGATGTAGCGGCCCAGTTCACTCTCCAGGTAGTTCTTGATGATCTGGCACGAGTCCTGGAGGAAAAGGGGTGTCAGGGGCAATGTTGAGGTGCTCTAGGCAGAGAAGCACCCCAGATGGAGAAGACAACCCAGCCTCGAGCCACTCCAGAGGCAGGTGACACTCTGTCCCCCCGGCCTTTCCCTCATCATCTACCTCCGCAGGGGCATGCTGACCCAACCTACCCGGTTTTTGGTGTAGTCTGCATCACCCCAGAAAATGGCTCCAGCTGCACCCAGCGCCGCGCTCTCTCCAATGGTGGAGATCAGGTCCAGCTGTGGAGACAGAGCCCAGTTAGTCCCTGCAGACCCCACACAGCACCCACACCCCCAGCATGATGTGCCCCGAAGAGCCTGCCGTGGGGTCAGGGGTGAAAGATCCACCTCTGCTCCAGGCCACAGGGAGAGGAGACTGTTCCCAGCTCCTTGGGGACAAGGCTTCCCAACACCACCCTTCTCCTGCAGGGCTAAGCCAGCACAACATAGGAGCTGTGGGCTCACACCCCCTAGGGTCCTGCCTGCTGGGACCCAGGAGTCCTGTGGCACCTCCCAGACACTTCCCTGGTGATGGTGACCATTGGTGCCAGTCCTGCTGCCAAATAACTGGCCCACAGAGCGGCTGAGCTGCAGGTCCCCACGCTGTGACCCCCCTTGGAGGGAAGGCAGCAGGACTGAGCACCCTTCCTGCCCCCAAGGCTAGCCTCATGCCAAAGGGCACTGCTTCCCAGCCCACATGGAGACAGCCAAACCAGTATGCCAGAAGCACAAGGGCAGATGCCAGCCTTCAGAGCCACTCCACTCCAGGGAAGCAGATGGTACATAGACAGAGGCACCATCTCAGCTGACCCCAGGCACCCAGGGTTTGGGACAAGGACGTCCCAGTGGCACAGCCCTACCTGGCTGAGCACGTCCAGCTTGCGGATGTAGGTGGGCCTGGTGTAGACAAAGACAGGCAGGGAGTAGCCATCGTGGTGCTGCTGCGAGATCCGCATGGCCTCCATCACCCAGCACAAACTTGCGGCTGTTGGGGGTGGAGGCCAGGAGCGCGTCGAGGTAGATGGAGGGGTAGAGGGCCATGCTCTCCCTCCAGAGCCATGCCAGCTGGTCATTGCGCGTCTTCTCCACATCCGGGCACTGTCCGGTGTAGCTCTCCTTGTTCTTGCTGTAGTCATGGTTGTAGCAGTCAGGGAAGAGGTAGAACCCCCATAGCTGCTTGGGTCGGAAGCTCTTGGCCACACGCAGGGTGCTCACCATGAACTGCCGGGCAGCCGACTCGAACTCAAACACAGCCTGCTTGTTCGCCTCCTCGAACCAGGAGGTTCCTGGGACCAGGAGGGTCTGCCGCTGG